AATAACATGTGTAGAGTTTATAAAGACGAATAAACCTCTTAGGAGGCACACTCTGTTTATTGTAATTCCTTCCTTACACAGTCCCTCAACACACAAAGGGGTATCCGCTCCCCTTACCCGATAACCTAAAGGAGGTACAGCCTCCGGACTCAGCGTGACCTACACACAGGTCTCCTTGATACCTAAGGAGGTACACAGCCTCCTGGCTTGGCAGGTACTCACACGTCTACCGCTAGCCTCCTTGATACCTAAGGAGGTACACAGCCTCCTGGCTTGGCAGGTACTCACACGTCTACCGCTAGCATCCTTGATACCTAGGGAGGTACACAGCCTCCTAGCTTGGCGGGTACTCACACGTCTACCGCTAGCCTCCTTGATACCTAAGGAGGTACACAGCCTCCTAGCTTGGCAGGACTTACTCACACGTCTACCACTAACCTCCTTGATACCTAAGGAGGTACAGCCTCCTATCTTGGCAGGTACTCACACGTCTACCGCTAGCCTCCTTGATACCTAAGGAGGTACACAGCCTCCTAGCTTGGCGGGACTTACTCACACGTCTACCGCTACCCTCCTTGATACCTAAGGAGGTACACAGCCTCCTAGCTTGGCGAGACTTACACGTCTACCGCTAGCATCCTTGATACCTAAGGAGGTACACAGCCTCCTAGCTTGGCGAGACTTACACGTCTACCGCTATCCTCCTTGATACCTAAGGAGGTACACAGCCTCCTAGCTTGGCGGGTACTCACACGTCTACCACTAACCTCCTTGATACCTAAGGAGGTACACAGCCTCCTAGCTTGGCAGGTACTCACACGTCTACCGCTAGCCCCCTTGATACCTAAGGAGGTACACAGCCTCCTAGCTTGGCGGGACTTACTCACACGTCTACCGCAAACCTCCTTGATACCTAAGGAGGTACACAGCCTCCGGACCTGGTGGGACTCGCACGTCTACCGCTACCCTCCTTGATACCTAAGGAGGTACACAGCCTCCTGGCTTGGCGAGACTTACACGTCTATCGCTAGCCTCCTTGATACCTAAGGAGGTACACAGCCTCCTAGCTTGGCGGGACTTACATGTCTACCGCTACCGCTAACCCAGAGTCCTCCGGCTGGGACCTCGGGGAGGCTATCTGACCTACCGCTGGCATAGCAGGTCTTGACCGCTGGACGCGCCGAGCCCTTAGCCCTCGGAAGGGCTGGGAGGCCGGGTCCGGGGTCCTGGCTTCGGTCTTCAGCCCAGGCTCCGGTCTTCATGTCGGGCGAGAACAACCATACTCTTTGGTTCTATTGTGTAAAGTCACGTGGGTAAAAAAAAAAAATCACGATGTTTCGACCACAACACAAGTGGCCTTCATCAGGTGAAGGGACCGCGTTGGAGTGAAAAAAGTCAAGCGCAGGTCACCTCCTTTAAGCTGTGAGTGTGGTAAACAGAAAAGACGCCTTGACAAAGGAATTAGCATACAATGTAAAGCTGTGCAAGCTCGCAAAAAGAATCAAAGATACATTAGCACCACCGTGACTTTGCCCAATAGAACCAAAGAGTATGGATCGTTGCAGTCAGGAAAGCTTTAAATCTAGAATAGAGAACAACCAATCACGCACTCCCGCGTGGAACCGTCTGATTGGTTCTCCCCAAACCGCGGCTATGACCCGCTTCACCTCGTCTGACCCCGACCGTTGTGTACACACAGAGAGAGGTAACGCTGCACTGCCCCTCTTGATACCCGGTGGCAATGCAGGTGACCGAAACAGTGCGTGGTTAGCACCTCTGCACATGCATTGAACGTAATGTAACGTTTTGATTTCGATTTAAAGCTTTCGTGACTGCAAGGATTCATCTTCTTTGGTTCTTTCGGTAAAGTCACCACCACCACGTAGAATGAGAATAAAATAATAAATTGATAAATAAAATAACACAATAATATTCTCACGACGTTTCGGCCACAACACAAGCGGCCTTCATCAGGTGAAGGGACGAGACTGTCTGGAGGACAGCGCTCTGAGCGTGGCTTTTTCACTCCAGCGCTGTCCTCCAGACAGTCTCGTCCCTTCACCTGATGAAGGCCGCTTGTGTTGTGGCCGAAACGTCGTGAGAATATTATTGTGTTATTTTATTTCATCAATTTATTATTTTATTATCATTCTACGTGGTGGTGACTTTACCGAAAGAACCAAAGAAGGTAACGTTTTGATTTAAAGCTTTCGTGACTGCAGTAATTCATTGTCTTAGCTCTTTCGGTAAAGTCACGTTGAAGGGAAACAACAAAACAATAAAAATATATACAAAACAATAACAAAAATTCTCACGACGTTTCGACCGTAACACGAAACGTCGTGAGAATTTCGACCAGAATGAAACGCCGTGAGAATTTTTATTGTTTTATATATTTTATTGTCTTGCTGTTTCCCTTCAACGTGACTTTACCACTTTACCGAAAGAGCTAAGAATAGTAACGTAACACGTCGTGGTAGCCCTGACATGAAATCGCTAAAGCTCCGTTACCGCACGCGCATTGAACGCAACGTGCCGTGTTCCACCGTGCCCGCCAAGATCCTGTCCGTCGTCCGCATAACTGGAACGATGTTCAGGTTGTCGAAGGCCACGCGTTGACTTAGCTTTCTTTGGTTCCTTCGGTAAAGTCACCACGTGGAATGAGAATAAGATGATAGATTGATAAAAAAAAATGAATGAAACAGCGCGATAAAATTCTCACGACGTTTCGGCCGCAACACCAGCGGCCTTCTTCAGGCGAAAGGAACAGACCCGTCGGGACGACAGAGCTCCGGTGAACGTTGTTAGAGATTCGTAGCGTCTTTTTAAGCTGGTTTAGAGCGGTGACCTTCAGACCGCTGCTCTTTCGCTGGCATTGACCCTTAATAGCTCTCGCACCACGGTTAACGGTGTGGTTTACAACATGGAGTACAGCAGCGCCTCGCAGCTGTCCCTCTCCCCCTCCTCCGTTCCGGCCATGGATGAACTCGTCCGTCTGAACGGGGCCCGTAGCTGTCCGTGGCGCTGAAGTTAAAGGGTGACTCACTTCTCTAAACCAGCTCGAAAAGACGCGACGAATCTTAACAGCGTTCATTGAAGCTCTGTCGTCCCGACGGGCCCTGTTCCTTCCGCCTGAAGAAATGCCGCTTGTGTTGTGGCCGAAACGTCGTGAGATATTTTATTGTGTTTTATCAATGTATTACTTCATTCTCATTCTACGTGGTGGTGACTTTGCCGAAAGAACCAAGGAAGGTGAATCCTTGCAGTCACGAAAGCCTTAAGTCGAAATTGACTTCGTTGTCGAAAGAGGAGGATGGCGACGATCAAGTTACAGTGTCGTAACTCGTGGTAACGCTGCTGCTGCTGTGTTTGCCTGCCGCGCGAAATTAAATTTAAAAAAACAGACTTGATTCGAGGCTTTCGTGACTGCGGGAATTGGTCTTTGTTTTTTTTCAGCAAAGTCACGTGTCAATAGGAAATGATCAAATAACGTAATAGCGCACGACGTTTCGGTTGCAACACAAGCACTCTCCGCTCCGTGCATACCTCATGCTAATTTGTCCCGTCGTCTCTCGGCCTTACCTTCTCTGCCGATGTAAGGCGACTTCGCTCTGTGCTGGTTCGCTCTGCTTGGATGTCTCTCTCTGTGTGTGTGTGTGCGCGGTCTGTATTTTAAAAAAAAATTCCGTACTTAACTTGCAATTTAGCAATCTTTTGAAATAGCGTGATCAACCGGACCATGCGTTAATTGTGTTTTGACCGACTGTCTTCGTTGCTCTACATGGTTTCAAAAACTTTGCTAAGCCCTGTTTGTTTGGTCTGATTCTCTCTCTCTCTGTGTGTCCCTCTGTTGTATCTGTGTTAGTTCCCCCCTATGCTTGGGTGTCTGTGTATACACCTGGGGTTATGTGTTTCCCCCTCTCTCGTAAATGTAGCTCCTCTGTGCCTGATGGTGGCTGCTTGTGTTGCCACCGAAACGTCGCACGCTATTATGTTATTTTATTATTTCTTATTTATACGTGACTTAACCAAATTTTTTTTTTTACAATTTTATCGCTATCGCCGCCGTGAAATCGTGAGATCGAAAATATCATCGTAAGTCGGGGACTACCTGTACCTGCACCTTGATTGAAAGCTCCGTTGGGGGCAGCCCCGTGGCCTCCGTTTGAAATTGTAATCACCGAGAGCCTTCTTGCACGACTATCAGGCGCTCTGCCTAGCGTTGACCTGTCCATGCACAGTCGTGCCCCAGTAAATCGCCCCGTAAATCGGGTCATTTATTACGCGGTAAGGGTTCAAGGTTGGGTAGAGGTGGGCACGTTGCTCTTGGCCTTTCACCTTGCCGAGGCCTAGACGGGGGCCACTAGCGGGTGGTGGTGGTGGTGGCGGTGGTGGTGGTGGTGGAGGTGGTGGTGGTGGTGGAGGTGGTGGTGGTGGTGGTTGTGGAGGTGGTGGTGGTGGTGGTTGTGGAGGTGGTGGTGGTGGTGGAGGTGGTGGTGGTGGTGGTGGTTGTGGAGGTGGTGGTGGTAGTGGTGGTGGTGGAGGTGGTGGTGGTGGTGGTGGAGGTGGTGGTGGTGGTTGTGGAGGTGGTGGTGGTGGTGGTGGTGGTGGTGGAGGTGGTGGTGGTGGTGGTGGTGGAGGTGGTGGTGGTGGTGGTTGTGGAGGTGGTGGTGGTTGTGGAGGTGGTGGTGGTGGTGGTTGTGGAGGTGGTGGTGGTAGTGGTGGTGGTGGAGGTGGTGGTGGTGGTGGTGGAGGTGGTGGTGGTGGTGGTGGTTGTGGAGGTGGTGGTGGTGGTGGTGGAGGTGGTGGTGGTGGTGGTGGAGGTGGTGGTGGTTGTGGTGGTGGTGGTGGTTGTGGTGGTGGTGGTGGTGGAGGCGGTGGCGGCGGTGGAGGCGGTGGAGGCGGTGGTGGCGGTGGTGGCGGTGGTGGCGGTGGTGGCGGTGGTGGCGGAGGTGGCAGTGGAGGCGGTGGTGGTGGTGGTGAACTTTCTGCGTTTGCAGGGGGGTCAGGATCAGCCACCCGGGCCTGGGAGAAGGTCGCGTTGATCGTCGGCCTTGCGTCGGCCGGCGTGGCTCTCGTCCTCGCCGTCACCGCTGTGGTCATAGCCCTCTGCTGCTCCAGGTGGGTGGCGTGGGTGAGTGGGTGGGTGAGTGGGTGGGTGAGTGGGTGGGTGGGTGGGTGAGTGGGTGGGTGGGTGGGTGAGTGAGTGGGTGGGTGGGTAAATGGGTGGGTGAGTGGGAGGGTGAGTGGATGGATGGTGAATGGATGGATGAATGGGTGGGTGGGTGAATGGGTGTGTGAGTGAGTAAGTGGGTGGGTGAGTGGGTGGGTGGGTGGGTGAGTGGGTGGGTGGGTGGGTGAGTGGGTGGGTGGGTGAGTGAGTGGGTGGGTGGGTGAGTAAGTGGGTGGGTGGGTGGGTGAGTGAGTGGGTGGGTGAGTGGGTGGGTGAGTGGGTGGGTGGGTGAGTGGGTGGGTGGGTGAGTGGGTGGGTGAGTGGGTGAGTGGGTGGGTGGGTGGGTGGGTGAGTGGGTGGGTGAGTGAGTGAGTGGGTGGGTGGGTGGGTGAGTGAGCGGGTGAGTGGGTGGGTGGGTGGGTGAGTGGGTGGGTGAGTGGGTGGGTAGGTGAGTGAGTGGGTGGGGTGAGTGGGGTGAGTGGGTGAATGGGTGGGTGAGTGGGTGAGTGGGTGGGTGGGTGGGTGGGAGGGTGGGTGGGTGAGTGGGTGGGGTGAGTGGGGTGAGTGGGGTGAGTGGGTGAGTGGGTGAGTGAGTGGGTGGGTGTGTGGGTGGGTGGGTGGGTGAGTGGGTGGCGTGGGTGAGTGGGTGGGTGGGTGAGTGGGTGGGTGGGTGAGTGGGTGGGTGAGTGGGTGGGTGAGTGGGTGAGTAAGTGGGCGAATGGGTGGGTGAGTGGGTGGGTGAGTGGGTGGGTGGGTGGGTGAGTAAGTGGGCGAATGGGTGGGTGAGTGGGTGGGTGAATGGGTGGGTGGGTGAGTGAGTAAGTGGGTGAATGTGTGAGTGGGTGGGTGAGTGGGTGGGTGGGTGGGTGAGTGAGTAAGTGGGTGAATGTGAGTGGGTGGGTGAGTGAGTGGGTGGGTGAGTGGGTGGGTGAGTAAGTGGGTGGGTGGGTGGGTGAGTGAGTAAGTGGGTGAGTGGGTGAGTGAGTAAGTGGGTGAATGTGAGTGGGTGGGTGAGTGAGTGGGTGGGTGAGTGAGTGGGTGGGTGAGTGAGTGGGTGGGTGAGTGGGTGGGTGGGTGAGTGAGTAAGTGGGTGAGTGGGTGAATGTGTGAGTGGGTGGGTGAGTGAGTAAGTGGGTGAATGTGTGAGTGGGTGGGTGAGTGGGTGGGTGGGTGAGTGAGTAAGTGGGTGAATGTGTGAGTGGGTGGGTGAGTGAGTGGGTGGGTGAGTGGGTGGGTGAGTGGCTCGCCTGGCACGCAGGAGCTCGTGGGTTCAATCCCGGACCCTGACGACACACCGCCCCCCTCCACCCACCCCCCCCCCCCCCATCACGCTCACCCCCCAATGCGGCCTCCGTGAAGTCTATGTGAGGCGGGGGGTGGAGGCGGGCGGCGGAAGGTGACACCCTGTGCCTGTTGTCCGTGTGCCTCAGGCGGAGAAACGTCCAGAAGCAGCAAGTGTACGAGATGAGTGACCAGGTGGCCCACTACAAGTCTCGCTACGGTACGTCAACGGGCGCGCTACGCCCCCGCTCTCTCAAACTCGATCCACGTAAGAGGAGGTCGTGGGTTCTATCCCAACCTTGATGAGATGTTAACTACCTCGCCTGGTACGCAGGAGGTCGTGGGTACGATCCCGACCCTGACGAGATGTTAACTACCTCGCCTGGCACGCAGGAGGTCGTGGGTTCGATCCCGGACCCTGATGAGATGTTAACTACCTCGACTGGTATACACAGGAGGTCGTGGGTTCGGTACCAACCCTGACGAGATGTTAACTACCTCGCCCGGCACGCAGGAGGTCGTGGGTTCGGTACCAACCCTGACGAGATGTTAACTGCCTCGCCTGGCACGCAGGAGGTCGTGGTTTGCTCCCGAGCCTGACGAGATGTTAATTACCTCGCCTGGCACGCAGGAGGTCGTGTTTTGATCCTGACCCTGACGAGATGTTAACTTTTACGCAGCCTGGTAAGAGGAGGTCGTGGGTTCTATCACGACCCTGACGAGATGTTAACTACCTCGCCAGGTGTGCAGGAGGTCGTGGGATCGATCCCGACCCTGATGAGATGTTAACTACCTCGCCCGGCACGCAGGAGGTCGTGGGTTCGGTACCAACCCTGACGAGATGTTAACTACCTCGCCTGGTATACAGGAGGTCGTGGTTTGATCCCGAGCCTGACGAGATGTTAACTACCTCGACTGGTACGCAGGAGGTCGTGGGTTCGGACCCTGATGAGATGTTAACTACCTGGCCTGGCACGCAGGAGGTCGTGGGTTCTATCACGACCCTGATGAGATGTTAACTACCTCGCCTGGTACGCAGGAGGTCGTGGGTTCTATCCCGACCCTGACGAGATGTTAACTACCTCGCCTGGCACGCAGGAGGTCGTGGGGTCGATCCCGACCCTGATGAGATGTTAACTTCTACGCAGCCTGGTAAGAGGAGGACGTCGGTTCGATCCCGGACCCTGACGAGATGTTGACTACCTCGCCTGGTACACAGGAGGTAGTGGGTTCGATCCCGGACCCTGACGAGATGTTAACTACCTCGCCTGGTACACAGGAGGTCGTGGGTTCGATTCCGACCCTGACGAGATGTTAACTACCTCGCCTGGTACGCAGGAGGTCGTTGGTCGAATCCCGACCCTGACGAGATGTTAACTACCCAGCCTGGTAAGAGGAGGTCGTGGGTTCTATCACGACCCTGACGAGATGTTAACTACCTCGCCTGGTACGCAGGAGGTCGTCGGTTCGATCCTGACCCTGATGAGATGTTAACTACCTCGCCTGGTACACAGGAGGTCGTGGGTTCGATCACGACCCTGACGAGATGTTGACTACCTCGCCTGGTATACAGGAGATCGTGGGTTCTATCCCAACCTTGATGAGATGTTAACTACCTCGCCTGGCACGCAGTAGGTCGTGGGTTCGATCCCGACCCTGACGAGATGTTAACTACCTCGCCTGGTATACAGGAGATCGTGGGTTCTATCCCAACCTTGATGAGATGTTAACTACCTCGCCTGGTACGCAGGAGGTCGTGGGTACGATCCCGACCCTGACGAGATGTTAACTACCTCGCCTGGCACGCAGGAGGTCGTGGTTTGATCCCGACCCTGATGAGATGTTAACTACCTCGCCTGGCACGCAGGAATTTGTGGTTACGATCCCGACCCTGATGAGATGTTAACTACCTCGCCTGGCACGCAGGAGGTCGTGGTTTGATCCCGACCCTGATGAGATGTTAACTACCTCGCCTGGTACGCAGGAGGTCGTGGGTTCTATCCCGACCCTGACGAGATGTTAACTACCTCGCCTGGTACACAGGAGGTCGTCGGTTCGATCCCGGACCCTGACGAGATGTTAACTACCTCGACTGGTACGCAGGAGGTCGTGGGTTCGATACCGACCCTGATGAGATGTTAACTACCTCGCCTGGTACGCAGGAGGTCGTGGGTTCTATCACGACCTTGACGAGATGTTAACTACCTCGACTGGTACGCAGGAGGTCGTGGGTTCGATCCCGGACCCTGACGAGATGTTAACTACCTCGCCTGGTACGCAGGAGGTCGTGGGTTCTATCACGACCTTGACGAGATGTTAACTACCTCGCCTGGTATACAGGAGGTCGTGGGTTCTATCACGACTCTGACGAGATGTTAACTACCTCGCCTGGTACACAGGAGGTCGTGGGTTCTATCACGACCCTGATGAGATGTTAACTACCTCGCCTGGTACGCAGGAGGTCGTGGGTTCGGTACCGACCCTAATGAGATGTTAACTACCTCGCCTGGTACGCAGGAGGTCGTGGGTTCGATCCCGGACCCTGACGAGATGTTAACTACCTCGACTGGTACGCAGGAGGTCGTGGGTTCGATCCCGGACCCTGACGAGATGTTAACTACCTCGCCTGGCACGCAGGAGGTCGTGGGTTCGATCCCGGACCCTGATGAGATGTTAACTACCTCGCCTGGTACGCAGGAGGTCGTGGGTTCGATCCCGACCCTGATGAGATGTTAACTACCTCGCCTGGTACGCAGGAGGTCGTGGGTTCTATCACGACCCTGACGAGATGTTAACTACCTCGCCTGGTACGCAGGAGGTCGTGGGTTCGATCCCGGACCCTGACGAGATGTTAACTACCTCGCGTGGTACGCAGGAGGTCGTGGGTTCGGTTCCGACCCTGATGAGATGTTAACTACCTCGCCTGGTACGCAGGAGGTCGTGGGTTCTATCACGACCCTGACGAGATGTTAACTACCTCGCCTGGTACGCAGGAGGTCGTGGGTTCGATCCCGGACCCTGACGAGATGTTAACTACCTCGCCTGGTACGCAGGAGGTCGTGGGTTCGATCCCGGACCCTGACGAGATGTTAACTACCTCGACTGGTACGCAGGAGGTCGTGGGTTCGATCCCGGACCCTGACGAGATGTTAACTACCTCGCCTGGCACGCAGGAGGTCGTGGGTTCGATCCCGGACCCTGACGAGATGTTAACTACCTCGCCCGGTACGCAGGAGGTCGTGGGGTCGATCCCGACCCTGATGAGATGTTAACTACCTCGCCTGGTATACAGGAGGTCGTAGGTTCGGTACCAACCCTGATGCGATGTTAACTACCTCGCCTGGGTCGCAGGAGGTCGTGGGTTCGATCCCGACCCTGATGAGATGTTAACTACCTCGCCCGGTACGCAGGAGGACGTGGGTTCGATCCCGACCCTGACTACCGTGTCACCTACTGAATGTAAAACCTGACTACCGTGTCACCTACTGACTGTACAACCTGATCACCGTGTCACCTACTGACTGTATAACCTGACTACCGTGTCACCTACTGACTGTGTAACCTGACTACCGTGTAACCTACTGACTGTGTAACCTGACTACCGTGTCACCTACTGACTGTGTAACCTGACTACCGTGTCACCTACTGACTGTGTAACCTGATCACCGTGTCACCTACTGACTGTGTAACCTGATCACCGTGTCACCTACTGACTGTGTAACCTGTCTACCGTGTCACCTACTGACTGTGTAACCTGACTACCGTGTCACCTATTGACTTTGTAACTTGGCTAACGTGTCACCTACTGACTGTATAACCTGACTACTGTGTCACCTACTGACTGTGTAACCTGACTACCGTGTCACCTACTGACTGTGTCGCCTGACTACCGTGTCACCTACTGACTGTTTAACCTGACTACCGTGTCACCTACTGACTGTGTAACCTGACTACCGTGTCACCTACTGACTGTGTAACCTGACTACCGTGACACCTACTCACTGTGTAACCTGACTACCGTGTCACCTACTGACTGTGTAACCTGACTACCGTGTCACCTACTGACTGTGTAACCTGACTACCGTGTCACCTACTGACTGTGTAATCTGACTTCCGTGTCACCTACTGACTGTATAACCTGTCTACCGTGTCACCTACTGACTGTGTAACCTGACTACCGTGTCACCTACTGACTGTATAACCTGACTACCGTGTCACCTACTGACTGTGTAACCTGACTACCGTGTCACCTACTGACTGTGTAACCTGACTACCGTGTCACCTACTGACTGTGTAACCTGTCTACCGTGTCACCTACTGACTGTATAACCTGACTACCGTGTCATCTACTGACTGTGTAACCTGACTACCGTGTCACCTACTGACTGTGTAACCTGACTACCGTGTCACCTACTGACTGTATAACCTGACTACCGTGTCACCTACTGACTGTGTAACCTGACTACCGTGTCACCTACTGACTGTGTAACCTGACTACCGTGTCACCTACTGACTGTGTAACCTGACTACCGTGTCACCTACTGACTGTGTAACCTGACTACCGTGTCACCTACTGACTGTATAACCTGACTACCGTGTCACCTACTGACTGTGTAACCTGACTACCGTGTCACCTACTGACTGTGTAACCTGACTACCGTGTCACCTACTGACTGTATAACCTGACTACCGTGTCACCTACTGACTGTATAACCTGTCTACCATGTCACCTACTGACTACGTAACCTGACCACCGTGTCACCTACTGACTGTGTAACCTGACTACCGTGTCACCTACTGACTGTATAACCTGACTACCGTGTCACCTACTGACTGTGTAACCTGACTACCGTGTCACCTACTGACTGTATAACCTGACACCGTGTCACCTACTGACTGTGTAACCTGACTACCGTGTCACCTACTGACTTTGTAACCTGACTACCGTGTCACCTACTGACTGTGTAATCTGACTACCGTGTCACCTACTGACTGTGTAACCTGACTACCGTGTCACCTACTGACTTTGTAACCTGACTACCGTGTCACCTACTGACTGTATAACCTGACTACCGTGTCACCTACTGACTTTGTAACCTGACTACCGTGTCACCTACTGACTTTGTAACCTGACTACCGTGTCACCTACTGACTGTATAACCTGACTACCGTGTCACCTACTGACTGTGTAACCTGACTACCGTGTCACCTACTGACTGTGTAACCTGACCACCGTGTCACCTACTGACTGTGTAACCTGACTACCGTGTCACCTACTGACTGTATAACCTGACTACCGTGTCACCTACTGACTGTGTAACCTGACTACCGTGTCACCTACTGACTGTGTAACTTGACTACCGTGTCACCTACTGACTGTATAACCTGACTACCGTGTCACCTACTGACTGTGTGGCCTGTCTACCGTGTCACCTACTGACTGTGTAACCTGACTACCGTGTCACCTACTGACTGTGTAACCTGACTACCGTGTCACCTACTGACTGTATTACCTGACTACCGTGTCACCTACTGACTGTGTAACCTGACTACCGTATCACCTACTGACTGTGGAACCTGGCTACCGTGTAACCTACTGACTGTGTAACCTGACTACCGTGTCACCTACTGACTGTGTAACCTGACTACCGTGTCACCTACTGACTGTGTAACCTGACTACCGTGTCACCTACTGACTGTGTAACCTGACTACCGTGTCACCTACTGACTGTGTAACCTGACTACCGTGTCACCTACTGACTGTGTAACCTGACTACCGTGTCACCTACTGACTGTGTAACCTGACTACCGTGTCACCTACTGACTGTGTAACCTGACTACCGTGTCACCTACTGACTGTATAACCTGACTAGCGTGTCACCTACTGACTGTATAACCTGACTACCGTGTCACCTACTGACTGTGTAACCTGACTACCGTGTCACCTACTGACTGTGTAACCTGACTACCGTGTCACCTACTGACTGTATAACCTGACTACCGTGTCACCTACTGACTGTGTAACAGACTACCGTGTCACCTACTGACTGTTTAACCTGACTATCGTGTCACCTACTGACTGTGTAACCTGTCTACCGTGTCACCTACTGACTGTGTAACCTGACTACCGTATCACCTACTGACTGTGTAACCTGACTACCGTGTCACCTACTGACTGTGTAACCTGACTACCGTGTCACCTACTGACTGTGTAACCTGACTACCGTGTCACCTACTGACTGTGTAACCTGACGACCGTGTCACCTACTGGCTGTGTAACCTGACTACCGTGTCAACTACTGACTGTATAACCTGACTACCGTGTCACCTACTGACTGTGTAACCTGACTACCGTGTCACCTACTGACTGTGTGACCTCACTACCGTGTCACCTACTGACTGTATAGCCTGACTACCGTGTCACCTACTGACTGTTTAACCTGACTACCGTGTCACCTACTGACTGTGTGGCCTGTCTACCGTGTCACCTACTGACTGTGTAACCTGACTACCGTGTCACCTACTGACTGTGTAACCTGACTACCGTGTCACCTACTGACTGTATTACCTGACTACCGTGTCACCTACTGACTGTGTAACCTGACTACCGTATCACCTACTGACTGTGGAACCTGGCTACCGTGTAATCTACTGACTGTGTAACCTGACTACCGTGTCACCTACTGACTGTGTAACCTGACTACCGTGTCACCTACTGACTGTGTAACCTGACTACCGTGTCACCTACTGATTGTGTAACCTGACTACCGTATCACCTACTGACTGTGTAACCTGACTACCGTGTCACCTACTGACTGTGTAACCTGACTACCGTGTCACCTACTGACTGTATAACCTGACTACCGTATCACCTACTGACTGTGTAACCTGACTACCGTGTCACCTACTGACTGTGTAACCTGACTACCGTGTCACCTACTGACTGTGTAACCTGACTACCGTGTCACCTACTGACTGTGTAACCTGACGACCGTGTCACCTACTGGCTGTGTAACCTGACTACCGTGTCAACTACTGACTGTATAACCTGACTACCGTGTCACCTACTGACTGTGTAACCTGACTACCGTGTCACCTACTGACTGTGTGACCTCACTACCGTGTCACCTACTGACTGTATAGCCTGACTACCGTGTCACCTACTGACTGTTTAACCTGACCACCGTGTCACCTACTGACTGTGTAACCTGACTACCGTGTCACCTACTGTTTAACCTGACCACCGTGTCACCTACTGACTGTGTAACCTGACTACCGTGTCACCTACTGACTGTATAACCTGACTACCGTGTCACCTACTGACTGTGTAACCTGACTACCGTGTCACCTACTGACTGTGTAACCTGACTACCGTGTCACCTACTGACTGTGTGACCTGACTACCGTGTTACCCACTGACTGTTTAACCTGACTACCGTATGACCTCCTGACCTTCTATGGCGTTCTGACCACATGACCCGACTACCACGTGACTTTATAACCTTTTGACCTAACTACCATATGCCCTTTTGAATGTCTGACCTTTTGCCTCGACTACCATATGACCTTCTGACCTTCTGACTGTGCAACCTGCATAACTATGACCTGCTGACCTTTTGACCTTCTGCCCTGACTACTGTATGGCATTGTGACCGTATAACCTGACTGCCCTATGACCTTCTGACCCTATGACCTTCTGACCGCCACCCCCCAGCGTCCCGACATGCCAAGGTGTACGTTGATCCCTACACGTATGAGGATCCCAACGAGGCTGTCCAGGAGTTTGCCCGCGACATCGACCCGGACAGCGTCCAGATCGAGCGAGTCATCGGATCCGGTGGGGCACGGGCGAGTGTCCACCTCGGGCTCCACCTCCACCATCGCCTCCACCTGCATCACCTCCACCATCATCACCTCCACCATCACCTCCACCATCGCCTCCTCCATCACCGCCTCCAGAACCCACCGCCTCCACCACCTCCTCCACCATCACCTCCAAACATCACCTCCACCATCACGACCACCATCCCCACCATCACCTCCACCAACACCTCCACCACCACCTCCACCATCACGTCCACCATCACCTCCACCATCACCATCACCTCCACCATCGCCTCCTCCATCACCGCATCCAGAACCACCGCCTCCACCACCTCCTCCACCATCACCTCCACCATCACCTCCAAACATCACCTCCACCATCACGACCACCATCCCCACCATCACCTCCACCAACACCTCCACCACCACCTCCACCATCACGTCCACCATCACCTCCACCATCACCATCACCTCCACCATCGCCTCCTCCATCACCGCCTCCAGAACCACCGCCTCCACCACCTCCTCCACCATCACCTCCACCATCACCTCCACCATCACCTCCACCATCGCCTCCTCCATCACCGCCTCCAGAACCACCGCCTCCACCACCTCCTCCACCATCACCTCCACCATCACCTCCACCATCACCTCCACCATCACCTCCACCATCCCCACCATCACCTCTACTATCACCGCCTCCAGAACCACCGCCTTCACCACCTCCTCCACCATCACCTCCAACCATCACCTCCACCATCACGACCACCATCCCCGCCATCACCGACTCCACCACTATCACCTCCACCATCACCTCCACCAACACCTCCACCAACACCTCCACCATCACGTCCACTATCCCCACCATCACCTCCACCAACACCTCCACCACCACCTCCACCATCACCACCACCACCTGCAATATCACCTCCACCATCCCCACCATCACCTCCACCATCACCTCCTCCACCACCACTACCTCCACCATCACCCCCACCACCTCCAATATCACCTCCACCATCACCTCCACCATTACCACCTCCAACATTGCCTCCACCATCCCCACTACATCCACCATCACCTCCACCTTTACCACCACCACCTCCAATATCACCTCCACCACCTCAAATATCACCTCCACCATCAACTCCAACACCATCACCACCTGCACACCACTTCCACCTTATCCACCTCGTCCACCTCATCCACCCACTCACTCACCCAATAATCCACTCACCCACCCACCAACTCGCTCAGTGACTCATCCCCACTTATCCACCCACTCGTTCACCCACTCAACTATCCAGCCTCTCACTCACTCAGCTACCCACCCACTCAATCACTCGCCTATCTACCCACTTACCCACCAATTCACTCATCCACCCACCAACTCACGCACCCATCCACTCACTTATCCACCCACCCACCCATCCACCTGCCCACCCACTCATCTACCAACCCGTCCACCCACCCACTCGCCCACCCACTCATCTACCCACTCACCCATCCACTCACTCATCCACCCACCCATCAACTCACCCATCCACCCACCAACCAACTCACCTACCCACTCATCTACCCACTCACCCATCCAATCACTAATCCACCAACCCATCAACCAACTCACCCACCCACTCATCTACCCACTCACTCACCAACTCACCCACCCACTCATCTACCCACTCACTCACCAACTCACCCACCTACTCATCTACCCACTCACTCACCAACTCACTCACCCACTCACGCACCCACCCACCCACCAACTCACCCACCCACCCACCAACTCCCCCACTCACTCACTAACTCACCCACTCACTCACCCACCAACTCCCCCACCCACTCACCCACCCACCCACCCACTCACTCACTCACTCACCCACCCACCCACCCACTCACTCACCCACCAACTCCCCCACCCACTCACTCACCCACCCACCAACTCACCCACTCACCCCCCCACTCACCCACTCACTCACCCACCAACTCCCCCACCCACTCACTCACCCACCCACTCACTCACTCACCCACTCACTCACCCACCCACCCACCAACTCCCCCACTCACTCACTCAACCGCCCATCCACCCACCAACTCACCCACCCACCAACTCCTCCACTCACCCGCCCACCCGCCCACCCGCCCACCTGCCCACCCACCCACCCGCCCGCCCCCAACTCTTTCTGCACTTTCACTCCCCACCACCACCACCACCACCACCCCAGGCGAGTTTGGCGAGGTCTACCGCGGCACGCTGCTGGCTCCCGGCGTCCGCAGCGGCAGCGTCCTCCTGCTCGCCACGCCGCCACCTGCCTCCTCCTCCTCCTCCTCCTCCTGCGCCCTGCCTCCACCGGCGTCCTGCCGCCCACTCGCCAGGTCCCCTTCGCCGCCGCAGCAGCCGCAGCCGCAGCTGTCCACAAAGCGGCAGCGGCAGCGGCGGCAGCGGCCGCAGTCGCCGCCGCTGCCGCCGGCGTCGGCGTCGGCGGCCTCCTCCTCCTCCTCCTCCTCCTCCTCCTCCTCGTCCTCGTCGTCTCCTGCAGCGTCGAGCCCCACGCGACAGCGGCGGCAGGCGGAGACAACCTCCACGTTGAGCAGACGCGGCGGCGGTGGAGGCGGTGGAGGAGGCGGTGGCGGAGGAGGTGGAGGCGGTGGCGGAGGAGGCGGCGGAGGCGGTGGCGGAGGCGGCGGAGGCGGTGGAGGAGGCGGCGGCGGAGGCGGCGGAGGCGGCGGAGGCGGCGGCAGCGTCGTGGCCGTGAAGACGCTGAGGGCCGGCCACACCGCCCGGCAGCTGCGCGACTTCCTGTGCGAGGCCAGCCTCATGGGGCAGTTTCGGCACGGGAACGTCGTGCGCATGCTGGGGGTTGTCACGAGGGGCCCCGCGGTGATGATCGTGACGGAGTTCATGGAGAACGGCTCGCTCGATGCGTACCTGCGGGTGGGTGGGGGGTGGGTGGGGTGGGGGGTGGGGTGGGGGTGGGGTGGGTGGGTGAGTGGGTGGGTGAGTGGGGTGGGTGGGTGGGTGAGTGAGTGGGTGGGTGAGTGAGTGGGTGAGTGGGTGAGTGGGTGAGTGGGGTGGGTGAGTGAGTGGGTGAGTGAGTGGGTGGGTGGGTGGGGTGGGTGGGTGAGTGAGTGGGTGAGTGAGTGGGTGGGTGGGTGGGTGGGGTGGGTGAGTGAGTGAGTGGGTGAGTGAGTGAGTGGGTGAGTGAGTGAGTGAGTGGATGG